ACAAGATCCATATAGTGAAGGATCACGACATGAGGGAGAGGCTGTGTCTGGAGATCGAGCGGCTCGGTCTCAGCGCTGTGATTATGGGGAGCCGAGGGTTTGGCGCCGAGAAGAAGGGTAGCGACGGCAAGCTTGGGTCGGTTAGTGACTATTGCGTTCACCACTGTGTGTGCCCTGTCGTGGTGGTGAGATACCCCGATGATCGTGACGGCGACGCGCCGGCGAACGGTGGATGTGTGGGAGAGGCTATTGTGACGGTGAAATCAGTTGCAGGGGAAGATGATGAAAACGATACTAAGCCTGTTACTGCTTCTGCGCTTCACGAGCACATCAAAGGTCAGGATCAATGATCTTATCACCTTCGATATTTCTCTGATTGTATGGATTGAGCTGGGTTTGATACGTTATTGTATCATTGTCACATTGGCTTTATATTAGGTAAAGTTCGATTCTTAGGACAGTCTTTGTTGTTCTGTAATCACTTGAACTAGGTATGGTCCTGGAGCACTCGAATATGTGATCGTAATTTTCCAGAAATTGCAAAGATGGAAACTTAGAAAAGTAGTTCTCTGGTTTTGTTGATTTGGTGAAAGATATGGGCAATGCCGATTATTTTGCTTCTACGCAATTGGGGATTCATTTGATTTTATTACACCATCCACCACCGGTGAAGAACGGTCCGCTCATTTCCTTCTAAATGTCCCTTAGCCTGCAATGTATGGAGGGCTTGTTTTGTGAATAGAGAGTCATTTCTCCTAAAAACGTTGGTTATGTAGTTCCTCCATGGTCATAGTTTCATCCGATATTCCCTTTGCCTTGTTATTACAATGTGGTGCATTGTTCCGACTCATGGGTAGAGATCTGTGTGAAATGCAATTGGTTCCTGCTTTTATTTCTTCTAAATGCATCGAGCTTCTTCCTAGAATTAGTGATAGTCCGCAAACTAGGTACGTTGAACTGTTCAGTTCAGTTACCCTAAGATTCTTGTTTCCTGTAACTTGTGCAAAACAAAGCTTCAATATTTATCTCCTTTCAGGCCCCATTTTACTAGGCAGTAGGTTTATGCATTCCCTGTGTTTATCTTACATCTATCTAGTTGACATTCTATGTCTTTGTGAAGACAGTCTTTTCACTGGTTGTAGAGCTTAAGTGGTAATACTCCAAGGATGATGCATGGCATATATAACAGCCTAGCTTATATGGTTGAAATAAAATGGATGTAGATCATTCTTGGTCGATTTAGAACTGTCGACTCTTCCGATGCTTCTCCCTCTTTGGCAATTTATAGATCTTGTTTTGTTCCATTTGGAGATTTGATGTAATCTCAAAAGGGGCTGTAACCCGTTGTCGTTTTCAGGGGCTGGTTTCCGGTCTTTGCGACTAATGTATATAGCTTCATACCACGGATTATCCACAATAAACGAAAACGAAATGTTTCTATCGGATCATGGTTATCGACGAACTAACGTTGTGCCCTCCTCTTTGTGTTGTTTGTCTAAACTACAGATGATTAAACCGAGGTGGGGATATGGGATTCACCCACCACAACAGGTATGAACAAAACTTTTCCACTCTTTTTATTTTTTTCGAGACTCCATGTTTAACCACGCCATCATCAGCTTTCCATGGTTCTCTCCACAGAAGGCTTTGAATAATCTGTAGGGTTTTACAGGGAGGAGTTATGTGTGTGTTCGTGCTCTGTCTTTGGCATTTTTCTCTCTTATGTTATGCGTTACATCGATGATGAAGGAGTTGCTATGCTACTTTTAACCCTTCTCAAGGGAAGAAGAATGCCATCTTTCAATATGTTTTGCTTTTGCTTTGTTAAATTTTTTATAGCTTTTTAAAAACTGCTGATCTATGATGTTAAGTTGGATTAGGGTTTCTTTGGATTAGATGAAACCCCTCAAACTTTTACAAACAAAAATCATTTGGAAATTGTGAATTTGATAAGTAATATACATAGGATAAATCCCGTTAACATTCCTGAATCTGTATGTAGATGGATATGGATGGAAAATTAATTATTAAATTTTTCCTTTGACATCTACTTTTAAATTTGTAAAATTTGTCATTATCATTCACAAATTTTGTGCTATTGATTTAAAGAGAACATGTAAAATATGTTCTCTTTAAGAACATGTAAAATATATTCTTATTCTGGTTTTAAATCTAAGCGTGGAGAAAATTATTCACCCGGATTATAAAAAAAAAAATGTGTCATTTTAATTTAGTTTAATTTTTAAACGAATATGTGGGTCAATGCCGAACCCTATGAGAGCGGAGGAGGAGGACCACATGTTTTGATAACTAAATAAATATATGAGAAGAATGATTGATAGATGCGATGAATGACCCCTAATCTCCTCTTGACCATTAAATTGTTTTAAATTATTTTTAATGATCAGATTTCGTGATGGATATTTATCATTCTGCTAACATGTGTTTTAGGAACATGCTCGAGTTGGAACTTGGAACCTAAAAACGGTGGGCGGAGATTCAATTTTGGACCATGCAGACACGACATGGACATGTTCAACGTTCTTGGCAGATGAAAAATTCAAATGATATCAAAATCCATTAACTTGAAATGTGATTTTGTATGGTCCCCCGTGATTTCTTTCTTTGAGTGGTCGCAAATACACCCGACGTCAATCATACATACATACGTATATCTCCCGTGTACTTAGAATCCTGTCCTTCTTTCCACCACTTTCGAATCACACGCATATATATACACACACACATATATATGCCTGACCATTCGTATATAATATGTGGTATATTTGAATACGGCATGACTGACCATTAATTCATTCTCATGACCATAACCCCACGTTTAAAATTAATTTTATAAGAGTGGCCATAATAAAATCATACCACTTTTGAAAAATATTGTTAATTTAATTTGAACAACGCAATACTCGTCAAATTCAATCGAATGTATGAGTTGTCATTTGAGTCCAATAGCATTTCAGTATACAGTAAGTTAGTAACAAATATTTACATTAGATAAATCCACGTATCATTAGAGATCACAACATATATATACACACACTCTCTCATCAACGGCCCTGATCTCTCTGATCATGATCGATTTAATCATAGCCGTTGATTTCAACAATTCAGCCAAAAAAAACGAAGAAAAGTTCATACATCGGAGTTGAAAAGACCGAAATTCCTCTTCGCCGAAAACCCTCCGCCGCCACCGCCGCCGACAGAAGAAGACGAGCAAACCTCCGGAGGCTGTAGCTTCGACGGATCTTCAGACCACGGCACCACCTGATTCTCCGCCTCCTCGTCACTGTACTCCTCACCATCGTCGTCGTCGTCGTCTTCCTCACCGTCATTGTACGATTCAGCGTCGCCGGACAGATCTTCGTGATAATCGTGACGATTCGTTTCTAGGTTCCGATTATCCGAACCGCTGGGGTTCTGGAGGGAGAAGCATGAGTCGCAGGCCGAGACGGTGGGGCCGAGGCGGGGACCGGTGGCATTCCACGGCGTCAGGGACTGGCAGGAGCTGCAGAGGAGGAACCGTGTGTGCTTGGCGACGAGGAAGTTAGCTCCATGAACCTTATGGTCGCAGTCCCAACACAGACTCGCCTGGTCCGACTCGCAGTACATTCTCGCACCACCTCCACAGAGCTCACACTTCTTCTTCATCCTATGATCTCTCTCTCTCTTTATCGATTCCTCTCTCTCTCTATATATATGGATATGTATACACATATGCATATGCGTGTGTGTGTGTATATATATGGAGATTCTTTTAGCAGTTTCTTCTTCTCGTCGTCCACTTGTTTCTTCTGCGGGACACAAATAAGGGCGAAAGGGCTTTCCGTCAGTGGGCCCTCATTTATACCAAGGGTAATTTCGTCATTTCAGTGGCGGACAAAAACCTAATTTATGTTATTATTATTTTTTGTTTTTATGGATTTAGCGGTGGCTTGATTCACAAGTGAAGCTGTTCCTCTCCCGTTTCATTGTGCGTATCTTTTTAAGAGATGCTTATTCAAACAAAGGGGTATGGGTCTGTCCTACGTGGCGGTCTATCATTCGCTGATTTTAGGCTCCACATAATTTTCGTGGATATATTTGGTTGATGACGTGGAAAATACTCAATTGGGCCTTTCCTATTGGGCCCACTCTCCCCCTTGTTTTGATCTTCACGAATCCGAACCATTGGTGTTTTCTTTCCCAAATTGATCATAATTACTTCGTTGTGTATGGTACGATAATAATGATTATAGTAGTAATTATTAAAATATCAAATTTGTAAGTGAAGCCATATGAATTTTGAGTATTTTTCAAGGGAGAAAATTTTATCACGTCTTATAATTATCTCATAATACAAACTTATTTATAACATTGCATACATATTGTGGAGTCGGTATCAGAATCATCACCGTTCTCTCCGACTCTCGTACGTGCAAGAAGAAGAAAGACACCGGAGACTTTTAACGAGTTCGGTTACCGAGTTTCCTCGGGCCTACATCTCGGCCGGAATGGTACCGGCGAATCCACTAGAGAAGAAGAGACAGTCGAGAAAGAACAGCCGGTGGCGCTCCACATCGACGATTGGAGGCTCACCGGAATTTACCAAGAAAGGAGACGCAACATCTTACCGACCTCTGCTCACTTACCTTGTGCCGCCGTCGAGAACCGAGCTCCACCTACGTCGGAAAGCTCCACCACGGTCGCGGTCTCCTTCTCTTCTCCGATCTCCCTCTCGAACCTTCTCTCCTCGAGCACCGCGTCCAAAACCGAATGAGTAACACGTTTAGGGTATTAACCCTAAAACACAAAACGCGTCGTTTCAACCAAACGGGCTGCGTTCCTTTCTTCAACAAATGGGCCGCTGGGCCGAGCGGGCCCAACAATCTCCACCTTGGTGGAGAAAGGAACAAACAAGAACAATAATAACAAAATAAAACACTAGTGGTTCGCCGATTCCGGCACCGATCGACTTTTGTCGATCCTTCGACTTACGTCGGAATTTAAAGCAAACTTACCTGACTTACCTCACTTACCTGATGTCGGAGTTAGTCGTATGTCGCTGCCTTGAATGTGAGGAAGCTCCCGCCGATGACTCCTCAAGGCCTTCGTCGCCTTATCCCGCCACCGAACAGCTCATCCAAACCTGAAACACTCGGTAAACATGTTAGAACGTTCACCCCGATAAGACTCTAACCGAAGTCCTATCCCGCGTTGCCCGACCGGGAAACGCTACCCTCGGTTGTATGACTCCCTAGACCGTCTAACCAATCCTCCTAGTAAAGTCCAAGACTATACCCGCTAGCTAACCCGAGGATTACACCCGACGTCTACCCGTCTCCTAAGTCTATCCCGACTTTCCCGAGACTAACCTGAGTCATACTACCGAAACCCGCTAGATACCTAGCCCGGATCCCCGTGAAGTCTATACTACCTATAGGTATACGACTTCTACCCTCGGACCCTAACCTGCCAACTAGAATTGTCCTACAGTTTTGTCCCGTGAAGACGCTCCTAGTCATCTAAGATGCTCCACCGAGAATGAGACACGTGAGTGCACGTGCTCCACCTCGAGAGGGAGTGTCTTAGCGCCAACCTACACCGACTCTACCCGGTGACCCGACACCTCCCAGCTCACACCATCTCCTGAGCATCCTACCCGAGGAAGCTCCACCTAAATGTGGAGATCTCACCTCCTGACCTACCACCGAGAACCGAAGCATCTTCGGTTACTCCTCCGAGGTCAACGTCCTTCTACCTCGGACTCTCCCTACCTCATCATCCGGGATCTACAAATCCTCCATGTAGTATCCCTACCTACCCGCGGAACCACTCACTCCACCTGGTCCTTGGCCTACTCCTGCAACCCGATTTCTCGGGTTTTGCCCGAGACCCCTAGTCCTTCCACCATTCCCCTTTCGGGGTATACCGAGCTAGACAATCTAACTCCATCATCCTAAGACGATATAACAAGAGTCTAAAACTGACCCTACCCGGAAGAGACTTAACCGACCCTAGGAGTGATGTAACATGACACGAGGGATGAGACCGAACCCTAGAGGACTTAACCCTAGGTATATTTCTACCTAGCTGTGCTTAAACACGCTCCAACCCTAGTCTATCAGTCCTAGACTTAGGTACGCCTCTACCTAATCAGATCTACAAGACCTAGAGAACACGACCTGACCGGACTTTACCTAGGCACTCAACCTAAACCGATCTAGCGGACCTTAAACCAAGTCTAACCGGACATCTCCCTAGGTACATCTTACCTAAACGGATCTAACACACTCTAGACCAGACCTGAGTGGACTTAACACAAGGTATATTTCTACCTAACCGACCTCCTAGACTCTCGCACAAACCTGATTGGACTTACCCTAGGCATAATTTTGCCTAACCGACCTATTAGACTCGAAACACAGCCTACCTTAAGACCTGATTACGTCTAGCCAGACCTAACTTAAGGCTACACAGACCTGATTACGTCTAATCAGACCTACAACACCGAGTCTACGTGGCCCCCAACAAAGTCCTAACCAGTCCTATGATCCCGAGTCTACCCGGTCCCTCACAAAGTACTAATCAGACCTACCCAAGTGATACCTAGATCCTAACAGCCCTAGTTAGACAATCAAAAGTCCCGACTAGACCATCACACGACCCTAATCAGACCTAAGCCAACCCTAGTCGACCAACCCCTGATTAGATGACCCTAAGTCCTAGTCAATCACCTAAAAGTCCTAATCATCAAACCTAAGCCAACCCCTATTGACCTATCAACCCCTGATTAGACTTTTAGCAACCTAATCAGACCTAAACTAAGCCTAATTGACCTAATTTAATTCTGATCAGACCCTATATATGCCTAAAACCAACTCCTACAGACCTGCCCTGATCTAAACCGACCCCTACAGACCTATACCTAGTGATCCTAGACATAACCAACCCCTAAACCAACTCGTTTTAGTCAAATCCCAACTAATCAGACCTAACCGGTCAATGTACCGGACTCTATGACTCAAAACTGGTACTTAGGAGTCCTATCTAGTCCTAACCTAGATAATACCTAAGTCTACAATCAGATTCTAATCTGATCAGACCTAGACAATGTCTCTATAGACATTCTAAACTACTAATCAGATCTAACCAAGCCTATTTTGACCTAATTATCTACCGATCAGATTTAAATTAAGCTAGACTAACCCAAATTTGGCTAAACCAGACCAAAACCAAGACCCAAACAGCACTTACAGATCTATACCGACCTAAACCAGTCAATCTCAGACATATACCAGCCTATTTTAGTCTACCCAGACCTCTTACCCAGCTAAACGTCATCAAATCCAACCTATTCAGACCTATACTGAACAGAAAAACATGAATCTATGACTTACATTAGCTAAACCGAGATCTAAAACAGGTCTATCCTTAGTATATTTCACTAAACCAAGCCAAATTTGCATACTAGACCAGCCTAACAGGGTAAACCGATCACTACAGACCCTAATCTACCTAAACCAGTCCACTATGCCCTAAACCAGACACCATCAGACCTCATTTGGACTACCCTAACCCTATACCAGTTAGTTCTAGTCCTAATTACACACTCCAGACCCTAAAACGATCTAATCTAGTCCTAAACCTCGAATTCAGATCCTAACCCGACCAATACCAGCCCTAACCAGATAAAACAGATCCTAAACAGATCTCTATTAGCCTAAAACCAATCTGATCTTACCTAATACCGGACCCAATTGACCTAGACGGTCTAACTCTAGCCTAATTGGACGAACAGACCCTAACCTTAGACTTAAACCAGTCTAAACCGGCCTTAATTCACCTCCAATCAGACCCTATTGGTCTGAACCAAACAATTCTAACCCTTCCCAGACAAATCAGACCTTAGTCAAGACCTAAACCAGCCTAAACTAGTCTGAATTACTCTAAACTGGACTCAATTGACCTAAACCGGACCTGAATTGACCTAAACCGGACTCAATTGTCCTAAACCGGACCTAGATTGACCTGAACCGGTCTAAACCGGTCCAATTGACCCCAAACCGGACCTGAACCGGTCCGATTTGACCTAAACCGGTCAACTGTTGACCAAATTGGTCAACGAATTGATCGAACCGGAGTGAACCGGTCTGAACCGGCCGGGACCGGGTCTGAGCCGGACTGAACCGGCCGGAATCCGGTCTGAGACGACGGAACCGGGTTAAACCCGATCTGACCGCCGATAACCGGACTTGGATCGAATCGAACCAGGTTCGATTGACCCAAATCGGGTTTAACCGAAATTGGATCGATTAAACCGGTCTGAACCGGATTTAATTCGAAACCCTAATTTCGGAAACCCTAGCCGCCGAGTCTGCCGAGTTGACTCGGACGTTGACTCACCCGATTCCTCCACTCAACCCTAACTCGGACGAGTCAGGACCGAGTTTCGCCGGAATCGAGCCTTCCTCCGCCGAGTTCACCGAGTTTCTTTGAAACTCGGTCTCAAGACCAGAGGAAAACGCAGAAAATAATGAAAACTCGAGTCAGAAACTTACCCGACTCACCTCGGTTCGAATCTGTCTTCACCGATTTTGGTCTCTGATGCTCCACCGTGACAGATCTGGCCGCCGGCGAGCCCGAGGGTGTTAACACTACCTTCACCGTCGCCGATTTGCCTCCGTCGTAGACTGAAACACTTAAACAGAGCATCAACACGTTCAAACAGACAAATCTGAAAAAACCGAGAAACCCTAACTTACCTCACCTGACCGACGAATCTTCCCTGGATCGAGTAACCGGAGCTCTGATACCACTTTGTGGAGTCGGTATCAGAATCATCACCGTTCTCTCCGACTCTCGTACGTGCAAGAAGAAGAAAGACACCGGAGACTTTTAACGAGTTCGGTTACCGAGTTTCCTCGGGCCTACATCTCGGCCGGAATGGTACCGACGAATCCACTAGAGAAGAAGAGACAGTCGAGAAAGAACAGCCGGTGGCGCTCCACATCGACGATTGGAGGCTCACCGGAATTTACCAAGAAAGGAGACGCAACATCTTACCGACCTCTGCTCACTTACCTTGTGCCGCCGTCGAGAACCGAGCTCCACCTACGCCGGAAAGCTCCACCACGGTCGCGGTCTCCTTCTCTTCTCCGATCTCCCTCTCGAACCTTCTCTCCTCGAGCACCGCGTCCAAAACCGAATGAGTAACACGTTTAGGGTATTAACCCTAAAACACAAAACGCGTCGTTTCAACCAAACGGGTCGCGTTCCTTTCTTCAACAAATGGGCCGCTGGGCTGAGCGGGCCCAACACATATGATCACTCAAATTCAACTTATATATATACACACACATATACACTAAACTAAATTTCAAATGTTCCTTTTTCAATATCAATCAAATAAGGATTGATATTGCAAAGGTTGTGAATACAGGAAGATGGCTAAAGGTCAACATCAATAATAAATAGGCCATGAAATGGGCCTACTATCTCAATATCACTAAGGCCTAACACATAATTTATTATGTCTCGTAGCCCATAAGAAAATTCGCCTGGAGGTCGGTAGTTAAGATTTGGGAAGAGTAGCTCTGTCTAAAGGAGCGTGGCTTATATTTGGTTAACAACCGAATAATCGGATCGATTTGGGCTGAATAACACGTAATCATAATCGAATCGAACCGAATTAAACATAAAACCGAATGGTTATAATTTATGAATAAAACTTGATGTTTTCAGCTTCGGAGTTATCGGTTCTTGAGATTGTGCCATGAACTTAACCGTACGAATTAACACAAACCCACATAGAGAATCATGTCCATGAATGTGAAGCTTCTGGTTTTCATGATGACCTGCAGGTGTGGAAGCTATGGCTTGAAGCGAAAGTTATGGATCTAACCAGAGGAAGCTTTCTTGGGAGAGACATGTCTTGCATCAGAGGTTCTGATATGTGTTCTTGTGGGTTTGCTTGGTGTGCATCAGAAACCAAAAGACAGACAAAACAGATGATTAAGACAGATTTTTTTTTGGATATTGCAATAAATATTTAAATAAAACATGCATGAGTAAGGGCAGACCAAGTGAAAAATTCTGTCCACTGCATCATAACCTTCCATGGCGATCATTACTCTGAATTCATTATTTATCAAATATTGCATTCAAGGATATTCGTTGTCTCAGTAGATATAATTATATGAATTGAGGTATAAATCTGAACTCAAATTTCATTGGTAAGTTCATGAATTCAAGAATCATTCACCGACAAAATCTTGCAATTGTTTTTGGGATCTTTTTAGTGAGGTTCTTGGAAAGTGACAGAAACTTCGTCTTGTCAGCGCGTTACCTTAACCGGAAATATAATAAACAAATCAAAACACTTCACTTTTCATCGTCTTATCCTCCCGAAGAAATTGACAATATGCCATCTGTTCCTCGGCTTTCACACTGGTGAATTTACCCTTTTGCCCCTAACCGAGCTTCCCAGAAGGAGGAATACCTTCCCGGTTTCCGAGACACGGACCCGACCTTCCTTCCCCAATTACCTGTTCCTTAGTTGGCTTCCATGGTTGTTCCTTCTCGGAAATCCCGAAATTTTCCTCCTTTATATACAATCATCGACATCAATCCCACAAACCCATCTCTTCAAAATCTTCAATTCCTCTCAATTTCAACCACTTCGACACAAAGCTTTGACTCTTCTGCTCTAATGGCGTCACCCAAGTCATCTACGAGACCGACTCAGCAAAACCCAGAAGCCAATTTCCAGGATTTCTTGCCTACGATGGCGAGCAAGCTCGGCGGAGAGGCGCTGATCAGCGAGCTCTGCAAAGGGTTCGAGCTTTTGAAGGATGGCGAGAAAGGGGTCATCACGTTCGAGAGCCTCCGGCGAAATGCCGCGGCGGTGCTAGGGCTCGGAGATCTGACCGACGACGACGTCCGGTGCATGATCGGCGAAGGCGACTTCGATCGAGACGGAGCTTTGAATCAGATGGAGTTTTGCGTTCTCATGTTTCGGCTGAGTCCCGAGTTGATGGAGGCTTCGCGGTCGTTTGTCGCGGAGGCGATCGAGGACGAGTACGTGAGTTTCACGCGCCGGCGTTGACTAGGAAACCCTCTGGTCGATTCCGAGGGTCTCTTCTGACTGATTCTTACGATTTTACGAGTTTTTTCCCCTTTAATCCATTGTCGTTACTTGTTACTATTGACAAAAATACCGGACCATATATGTTTATGGTGTTTTCATTATTCGTAATTGTTAATCAAAAGAAATTGGGTAATAAAATATTAAATCACTAAACCAAAAGCAATAGTGACAATTAGTTATAATTACAGATAATATTTAAGATTTAATCTTATGGTAATCACCGGAGATTTAAGTTTCCGCGTGAGTGATAATGTAGGAAAATACGTGTAACCATGCAGTCCAAGATGTCCGGCAGAAGCCTCATCATGCATTGTACGTAGAAGAAGCAACACGCTTTCGGTCAATAAAGCAAACATCATCACTTCATCAGCACGACAAGGAGATATGGGGGTGAAATTGAACATTTTAAAAGTAACGGGGTAAAAAGCGAAGCATCCGTGAATCACAAGCCAACTTTGTCATCTCCTTTTTTCCAATGACCCATGAAGGTTTCTGATGTTTCAAGAAACACCCCTATTATTTCAATATATTATTTTGAGATCTCTGAGCAGGTGTCAAACGGACCGGTCCGGTGCGACTCGGCCCGAAACCTTACATTCAGCCCAAAGAATTCAGACTGGGGTTTGGACCGGTTCGATTTTTTTACCTAATAAATCAAATCTGAAATCTGATCTTATAGAACTTGAGTTTAAGTCGAATTCAAGTATGACCGTCCATTTAATATTTAAAAATATCAAAATTTTATGTGTTTTTTAATTTATTTTCTCCAAAAAAAAAAATCGGATTTTTGGATCGTCACGAAATCCGTCATGCTTAATCTGATAAAATCCGAGCCCAATTTAGACCCAATATGAAATATCCGAAATTTTTTCGAACCTATATTTTTAACCTTGGAATTTGATATTTTTTATGTGGTCTCGGATGAGGTTTCGAACTTCAATCCCAAATTGACATCCTTCTCAATAGTTGCACATAAAAAAGAATATTTACATTAGACTCTATCATTGTGAAATCAATCATTCTTTTTCGATTAAGATTAGTAGATTATAATTAATTGTATGTGAAGATCTACAATACTTGGTATAATTAATTTTGCAATTAAGTTTGTAACTAATCAAGATAAATCACTCTAATTTAGTTTGTTCAATGGAGCTATGATTGAATCTATAGAACAATTGATTTTTATTTCATAAATAACTAATTATAATTAACTACGCGTTTGCTGATCATGTTAATTCCTCGTAATCATCGCCAATTTGTGGAAAATCACATATTTTTTTCCATAGGGTTAAATTCATGGGGGATTTTCATTTATTTAGTGAGAAGGAAGACTAATAATAGTATATAATTAGGTGTTAAATGTCATGTCCTAATTAACATCATATGGTTTGGAATTTTCGTGTTGGCACAGCAACATATAATAAAGTTCAATCAAAGGCATGCACCAATATATATATATATATATATAAATAATCATACCTTAACTTTTTTTTTAGTTTCTTTAATGATGATTCTAATATATACCATTACTCGTCGTTAGACACCTAATATAGGAGGCCAACCACAACATGATATAATGACATTTTCACATGTATGATGCATTATGCCAAGAATATGAAAGAAATATTTTTTTTGGAATTTCTATTCATTTTATTCAAACTATATATAAGAAGAATATTTATGTCATCGACATATTTTAAGATCATAACATAACATCTATAAAAAAAATATTTACGTATTAGAAAATACACGATTATACGATATTTGTTAACTACTCAATAGTCTCAATATATCCGAATCTCTATTTAGTGAACATTAAATACAATTCATCAAGTTTCATTTACGTACAGTATATATATATATATATATATATATATATAAAGTGTTTTGTCCATAATATATATATATATATCTATTAAAAGAATAAAAATACTAAAGATGATTCCATTTATATTCTGGGAGTTTTTCTTAGTTAATCGAAATACTCGAGTTGTGATTAAATGATTGGGCCTAATGAATTTGAAAGAATTTATGACTCAATTTTAATTCCCTCAATTCAAACATCATAAGTCCATTAGATGTAAGTTGGACGAATGCATATATGAGTGTCATCATCATCATCATCATCATCATCATCATTGCCATTATCATCATCAACAACAACACAATAGAATATTAATGACGACAGTGATGATGCAACGGCGTCGTATAGACGACGAAGTTGGAACAAGACGAGAATCTGTCTCCGAGGACAAATCCGACGGCTGTTATTCGTTCAAATCGGACGGCCTAGATTCGTTGACCCTACCGTCGGTCAATTCAAAACCCACTTCCTCCCTCGCACGCAGCCACACAGTCGTTTGTCTTCGTCGGCTCTCGCCGCGCCCCCATCTTCCTGTCTTCTTTTCTATATTTTTTAATCATATATGCACTTTATTTTATATTAAAATATAAGGAATAAAATTACATAAAGTTTAAAAAAATACTAAAATGATCTGCATATTTAGATACTATTATCATATATTTTGTTATAATATGTTTTAATAGTGACATAATAACAAAATGCATACATCATTATGATCATCATCACCCCATATATATATAAGCGATATTTATTTCAATTATCTTAAACATTTTTTTTTGTCTCTTGTACATAATAAATCTGAGAATCACGAGTGGTACATATTTCAATCATCGTAAACATTAAAAGTCAAATTGAATAATTTCACTGATAACGTGAGGGTTTTTACTTTTTTACCCATTCACATTTAATTATATGGAATTGTGAATAATGTAGAATGGTAATAAACAAACACCATGATATAATATTGGTTTTGGAAAAGACATATTCTAGAGGAACATGATGATGATGACGATGACAGCAGCAACATATCATCATTATTATTATTTTCAATCATTTTTTAAAATATAAGAAAATGAGAACCCAAAGTTTTTTGTTTTCCCCCACCAACCCCCACTTTTTGTTTATCTCACAACGTCGCCGTTTTAGTCTAACCCTTGAAAAAAAAACCCCTAAAATAGATGGCTTCACTCTGACCCTATATTATTGCTTAAACTCAAAATAACCCCTAAATATTTTTCTACAAAATTTGTTGCCAAACTTTTTTTTTATCTACCTTCAATACGTCGGATCACACAATTATCATCATTATTTTTTTAATATTATAGAATTTGTATGGTAATTGATAGAGTTAAACAAATTTAAATTAAAATGATTTATAAATTTTAGAGAAGTAAGGTATTGCTAAAATTATAGGCTTTGAATGGTAATTAATATAGTTAAAAAATAAAAAAATTAAATTGATTTACGAACTTTGGAGAACTAAATTTTAAAAATGTTTTTAGAATTTATAAACCTGAACTAATAGTTTGAAAATAAATGTTTAAATTTTTGAAGTTTGGAGGGTTAAATGTAATTAATTATCAAATAATGGAATTAATAGATCATCAATCCAAGTCATGATTCTGTTATTATAGATTTAGAACATAATTACTAGGGCAGATATACATATAAAATTTGAAATAGATGCTATATAATGGAATGTTAGAAATATTTCATACCAAAATATTACGAAATTGATTCACATAATCCAAACCATATAAATTTGAATTTAAATTCACAAAAATCAACAAATTCTCAAATAAAATATACAATATTTTGATAAATAAATATAAAACTAAAAATATTTTTGTAAATATATAAATTAGTCGAATACTCACAAGATAAATCATCATAAAATATCAAAACCCGACCCAAAACTCGGATTTTTTGTTTCATGAAATCGGGTATCAATTAAAACAGGATACCCAAAAAACCAGCACATCTCTATTAAAAAAAAACCCCATGCCTAGAAATTACGAGAGGTGATCACAAATCATCATCAAGAAGGGTTTTGAAATTAATGAAACATACGAGGATTATATCTAAATTTACTACTTCTTGGGGGATTGACTTGAAAATTCTCAAAAGAAATATATATTTAATTTGGAAATAAGTTAAAACACTTTTATGGAAAAATATTAAAAAGGATAAAGAAAACAGATCATTTCGTTGGCTATAAATACGCTCTCTCCCCTCTCCAGCTTCTGATCATCTTGCATTTTAAAAAAAAAATCAGAAGAGGAATTTCAAAAGAGAAGGACCTCGTGAACAGACGACGAACACCGCTTCTCCATGGCGACTAAAGTGTATATCGTGTATGTGAATCTCTTTTCTCTGTTTTGTTTTGTGAATTTTGGGGCTCGAACATTGCCATTGTGTGCGATTACCGATTTGCCAAGCTGCTCGAGTTCTGCTGTGATTCGCCGCGTGATTCAAGTCCTGTGATCTGTTGTTTTTTCAGTGTCTACGGAAAATTTTATGTGTTTTAGAGACTTTGTCTGGTGATTTATGCGCTGGTTCTTGCTTATGCTACTGCGATTGCGTAGTTCCTCTTTGAATAATCTGATCGATGTTTCGCTTTGTTTCGGATTTGTTGTTTATAGTTGCGGATTTGATTCAATTTGTAGTTGGTCCTCAGGGTTCTCGATGATTTTGGTGTCTCTTGCAATATTTGATGCGTCATTTTGCCTGAAACTATGTTGTTAGGATAAGGTATTTTCGCCTTTAGGGTGAGATTTGGGTGTTTCTTTATTATCTTTCCGACATACTTTCGATCTCCGATCATCAATTTTGTGAATCGCTGTTTTGCTTCGTTTCAATAATGTGCCTTACGGTGTATTGGGAGCCCTAAGAATGCTATGAGAACAACAGTGTGAGATCAAATCTCGCTCATTGTAAGCATGCCAATTGAGCTATTCGGAGTTCTTCACTGGTTTGATCTAATGTTAGAGACGATTGTACCTCCATTTAGCTAAAACCAGACAGGGGAACACGGAATAGAATACAAGTTTCTGCAGATGTGAGTTAGAGATCAGACATGATATGGCATTTGCTCGTTGTAACAGGTTTTACTCCATGTACGGCCATGTTGAGAAGCTGGCTGAAGAGATCCAGAAAGGGGCTGCCTCTGTTGAAGGCGTCGAAGCCAAACTGTGGCAGGTGCATGCTTAACTCTGCTTATGAATTGCCTTAATTGAGAATGGGTTTGCATTCTGAATTTCGCCTGCATTAGTTACTTTAGGTATCAATATTGATTAGAGATTTATCCGGGGGCAGGACTGGCTAAGAACCCTCAAACTAGTGCTGAAATAAGAATTTCCAGATTGTCCTTCTACATTAGTTGCTGGGGAGCAAACCCATCTTACATTTATTGTTTCGGTCTCAATCTCATCTGATAATCCATTCAAAGTCGTAGACAAAAGCTCTGATCACAAATTACCATCACCGTCTAGACACACTATATCTAAACATCAAAGTATTGAGCGGGATGTTTTTGACAGGTACCAGAGACACTTCCAGAAGATGTTCTGGCAAAGATGAGTGCACCACCAAAGAGTGATGTCCCGATTATTACACCCAACGAACTCGCTGAGGCTGATGGATTCGTTTTTGGCTTCCCCACGAGGTTCGGCATGATGGCTGCTCAGTTCAAGGCATTCTTGGATGCGACCGGCGGCCTCTGGAGGACTCAGCAACTCGCCGGGAAACCAGCCGGCATCTTCTACAGCACCGGCTCTCAAGGGGGTGGCCAGGAAACCACTGCGTGAGTTTCTCTTATCCCATTCCTCATTGCCCAACTTTTGAATATCCGCTCAAAACGGATCTGAGAACGAGATCGGGTATATATTGTGAGGTCATAGGATTCACGTTGAAATAACTCAAAATCTTTGTGAACTGGACTCGCTCCCACCCCTGACTTTTGCGTAATCCAATGGATTTCCTTTGGATCAATTACTTGTTCATTGTGATATTATGAGAAAACGCTGGCTGATGATATGAGGGATGGCAGGTTGACGGCGATAACGCAGCTGGTGCACCACGGGATGGTATTTGTGCCGATAGGGTACACGTTCGGGGCGGGGATGTTCGAGATGGAGAAAGTGAAAGGAGGCAGTCCGTACGGGGCCGGGACTTACGCCGGCGACGGTTCCAGACAGCCCTCCGAGCTGGAGCTCGAACAAGCCTTCCACCAGGGCAAGTACCTCGCCACCATTTCCAAGAAGCTCAAGGCTCCTCCTGCTTAAACACCATACATACTACATATAATATGTCTTAATTAATAAATCACACAAGTTATGTTCGGTCTTTGGGGTTTGGGTTTTTCATATATTCTTTGTCGGTTATTTCTCTATTTTGCATTTTGTGATTTTCTTCCTGTTTTTAATTATTATCCACTCTACATTACAACTTCACAGCAAGTGTGTTTTGCAATAGAAAGAAAAAAATAAATAAATAAGTTTTTGCTGATAATCTAGGTGTTGAATGGATGGGGTTTTTATTTTGAGTTTTTGGATTTAGTTTTTAGTTTTTAGATTTTAGTTTTTGGTTTTTGGCTTTTGGTTTTTATAGATTTGTAAATCTAAAAAAATATAGCTTTTAGTTTTTAGTTCAATTCTTTCCATAAAGTGGTTTTCCTGAAAACCAGGAAAACCAAATTTTAAAAACTTGATTGATAATTTTTTGAGTTTTTAAAATCTAAAAACTCCCAAAACCCTTTGCCATTCAACTAGTGATGTCAAAATGAGCCAAAACCATATATATATATATATATATATATATATATATATATGCCAAATAAAATACCAAATAAAAACGGATCGAACGAGTCAACTTCGCGACGAGTCCGAACCCATCCGGAATAGCTCAGTCGGCTCACAAATCGGCTCGGGAGGGGACATTAAAAAAATATTAGGATTTCATACTTTAATTTCTTCACTTCTTATGTTTATATAGCAAATTAAAATTCATGATATGTTGATGTTGGTGTATATTTTTTGTTATATTTTGATATTGTTGGTGTATGAAACTTTCATATTGATGTTGATGTATATTTTTTGTTATATTTTGATATTGTTGGTGTATTACACTTTTTTATGTTTGTTTGGTTTTGTTAATTTTTCTTGATTTAGATATATTTTTATAGATTGTTATGTTAAATATTTTATGTTATATTGTATGACTTCAAAATATTATTGTTACGTAGACTTTAAATGATTAATTTTCATGTAATTTTAAAAAAAATCGAATAATTAGATAAAAACGGACTGGCTCGCGAGCCGGCTCGGAGCTCGGACAATTTGGTCTGGGTCAGAGTTTTTCTAGCTCGTAAAAAAATGGGTCGAACGGGCTGAGCCAAAAATGAGCTGGCTCGAGACGAGCCTGTTCGGGCCGGTCTGAGCCAGCCCGTTTTACATCACTACATTCAACACCCTAGTGTATCTACCATTTTCCGGTCCCACGTCGTCAATTGAGAAACGTATCAAACCCATGAACCAAATTGGTCTGGGCCTCGAAATCTTTTAAATGGATCGGATAATGTAGGCCCATTTACAAGGGAATGTGGCCCATTTAAGCCCAATTAATGGTGGTTCTAATTTCTAAATGAATATATTGGGCCTCTTTCTAAGAAATTTGAAACCCCGGCTCTTTTTTTAACTACGACCTCGTGTCTGTTATTGATATGCAATTTCTTCTGCTTGGTGAGACATTCTTTTACATTGAGTAATTTGGCATCAGAAGAACAATAGGTAGATCATCAACAAACTATTATAAATAGATTCGATCATCTTAATTATTTCGACTTTGGTTCAAATTTAAATCTACCTCGAATCCATTTCGAAAAATCTTCGATCCGAACATTCGACCATATGTATTTCCTCTCATTATATTATATAACATGTAGTATTTCAACATTTTTTATTGGAATATTAACATTTTTGAGTGGTTTATTGGTAATAAAACATACAAAATATGTTTTTATCTTGAATTCAAATCTAAGAGTGGACCAAAATTATGGTGAACTTGCGGATTATAAAAAAAAACACAGTGACATCTTTTTCATTATCTTCAGTCTCCTTATGAATCTTCAGACATGAATATAAATAAAAATTTCCGACACTAACAACAAGGGTTTATTAACATTTTATCAAAAGAAAAAAAAAACAAGTGTTTATAAAATTAACATGTTAGGTCGTTTTCGACAATAAGAACGTTTGTCACCCGAACAGAGGACAATGAAAATATTTGATAAGTTTTATTTATCTTTTTTTATGAGACCCGTATTTCTATATAATTGATCACGTAATGCTCGGATTAAACAAAATTATCATATTCTATAATTAAATTACAGATCGTATAAACAAGATGGGAAAACCCTAAGAGTGGTTTTGGTACACATGCACTATGACATAACATTCATCTTCTATTCTTAGTTAATGTTTTCTCTCATTATCAATCTCTACAATACTATATCTCGATTTTATTATATGCTTTTCAACTTTGTTATATTTTTATTATACAAACCAAAATGACGAATCTTTTGCATTAATTATATGATTCAATTGTAACTAGTGTGTGTTAAAGGGTAGAATATACTGCGAATTAATGGTAGTGGAAGGACTTTTTTTCTTTTATTGTTGAATTGGAATATTAATTTATTAGTGTGCTCCGATCCGTTAATTTAAAAGTTCTGAGATAAAAAAAAATCTATGTTTTCCTTTAATACGGCAACGATCGATTTCCATATTGTCATTTGAATTTAAACTTTTTTTGGGTAACCAAACGATAGTTTCATGACTATGTTGTTTATTTAAATTTAATATAAATGTTAGTTTAACTTATACTTTTGACTGATCACTTATGGAAATTCGAGGGGGACCAAACTAATTAATTTTATATATATATATAATATGATATGATTAAATATTCGAACGTGAGGGATCATATTGGTTTATTCGTTTAGAATTCGATCTTTGTCTTATAATTTTGTGTAATGAAAAAATAAACAAAAGTGATTGGAACCTCAAGAGAAGGTACTTTATTTTTTTTAAAGTAATATAATTAACATTATCCAACAATCCATGAGTAGATGATTTTAGTAATAAAATAGAAAGCAGGGGTCATGACATGCCGTGTTGCCGCCAAAGCAAAAGACATAAACCCTAAAATATTAACAAACGATTAAAATATTAATAGAAGAACACATCATAATTTCGTTGCTGCATGGAAGAGTGACAACACGATGTTGGAGGCTACTTGTTGCATGTGCATGCATTGCCCCAACACAAAACAAATGGGAAAAATATATATAATATTATGGATTGGATAAACGATATTATATTAAAGCATATGACTAACACTTGTAACTTAATTCCTATCCGTATCCTTCCGTCGGTCCAAAATTTAAATGAGACTTTTTTTTTCTCCTATCATTAGCCTTATGCATAACTTCATATAAAAAATTTGTGTTTGGTCATGGACTAACCAACCAAGTGTTGGTTATGTTTGGACAAAAGAAGATGTGATATGAATCATGATGCTTTTGAAATAGTGGGCATGAGACATACAAACATAGCATTATGTGTTTTTTGTGTGTGTGTGTGTATATATATATATATCAACATCCCAATTTTAAGCAGCCCATGATGACCATGCTTAGAGTTTTACTATTCTATATATGATACAAAAATATTATATTTTTATCATGTCACTGTCCGAATGCAACAAGAAAATCGCTAACATGGTCATGTTTACTTTTTTATTTTATTTTTTATTATACTAAGCAAACATTATATTAATTTTGTCCACTGTCTCAGTGTATACATCCTTCCCATTTTATATCTTTTATTTGATGTGTGTGTGTGTACGTATACATTATAAGATATTGAGAGGACATCGACCTATCAAGAGGTTGATTTCCATGCGTACGTAAATTGATATCTATAAATCTTATGATTAGAGGTTAAGTTGGTTTAAAATTGCTGTGTATAATAATAGGTAATCCTTTGGTAATTTTGATTAATTTTAAAACGTAGAACATGTAATACAGCTCTAATGGGCCAAAAAGGTCGGACATGAATGGGCCAAAAAGCCCAGGATGGGGAGCAAGCCAAGTTGTATCGCACGTGGGGATTATCTTTACAAGACCCCGGTCAAAGTCTCAAAGTCAACGCTCTAATTTGCGCACGTGTTAATGTTTCAATATCATCATGCCAAAATCAACATCACACGTGCGCCACTCATATTTTGTTCAAGTCGACGAGTCTTTTCGTTCCCTTTGTCGCGAAAATTTTGAAATTTTAACATCAGCCGTAAGCAAAGGAAATAGTGTTTTTTTCTTCTTCATATTTTACTTATTTATTTAATTGAAAATAGAGTTAATTACGATCGATATTTTTTATGGAGATGAATTTATAATTCGTCATCTGCCTTATTTATTTACAAAATGTTATAGAAACTATGTTCGTCTGGGTTCAATGTTGCCACCTCAGCTGGGTATGGCACTTGCAAAAATAAATAAATAAATAAATAAAAGAGCACTGCAATAATTAAATAAGTTGTTATTATGTCTTGGTCGGTTTATTTTATTTTTCCATATAAATATAGTTGCTAGTTTTATATTATGAAGAAGCGAAACATAAAACAATGTCAGACAAAAACAATACCTTTTTTTGTCAAACAAAAAAAAAAATATAAGGATATAAACAAATAGATAACGAGCACAAAGTCACAAGTCAAAGTATGGTTTTAACAATTATCGTAGGTTATAGAATTACCAATGAATTATATATTTTTTTTCATTATCTATATACACACACATTCTATAATTTTCTTCTTAAAATATTAATAATAGGGTTGTCTCGTCTTTCAATAAATTCCATGTATATTCTGTTTTTTTTTCTCAATACTCATAAAATAAAAGTTATTTATTGTATTATATATGCATAAAATGTAATAGAGAAGATGAACTGACACATTATCTGATTAAAATCAGAAATCAATACCAAAAAAAAGGAATGAAAATTAGAAAACCCAAGAAAACAGGAACTGTCTTTGTACATGAACAGTCAAAACACAATATCAAAGTCAAGATTAGAGTGATACATTACAGACATCATCATCATCACATTAAACCTTCTACATCAGAAAGAGTCTCTTCACCTGCCTCTTCTCTCTGTTTCTAGTCACTGCCCCCATTGCTTGTAACCGGGTGCCCATTTGGGTGACTTGGGGCTGAAGTAACACGAAACAACCCTAGAGTTCAACAGCTCGACGATCGGAGCAAATTTCACGCACCTCGGCGTCTTGTACTGATTGATCGATGCTCCTAAACTTATCGCGTAATCCATCAGCTTGTCGAAAGTCCCCTGCTCCACAATCTTGATCTCGAGCGGACCAATGGACCTGTCACTGACCCTGCCCTGTCTGTACACACTGTTCAGTGACTCTTCAATGGTTAAGCAGCAGTCCTCGAATACAGACGGAGGGATTGGTGTTTTGCCCTTTAGGGTTAGCTCCCAGAACAAGACATAGTGGCCCGGTACACTTGTTGTCGTGTCCGCATAGCTTGTGTACTCGGATAGAGTGGCATCGAACGGGACGAGGTGTGTCACCGCGTTTTTCACCGCGTTTTGGAGTTCGACCTCGTCTGTCTTGTCTGAATCTATGCTCAGCACCACGTTTTTCCGGCATATGAAGCTGAATTGTGGTGCATTGTTCTTGAAGCCCGTCACTCTCAGAACATCGCCCACTCTGTACCTGTAAAGACCTGCAGCCATCGAAAGAGAATAAACACTTAGAAATCATCTCGATTGAACATGAAATTCCAATTCTTTTTTTCCTCTGAGATGATCAAAGATTGCTGATCTTACCAGCGTAGGTAGTGACAACAAGCTCATATTCATGCCCAAGCTTGACATCAACAAGATCAGCAAGCTCCTTTTGCTCCTTCTCGGTGAGTGATTTGGGCACATTGATGGAGTTGGTGACCCCATTGTTCTTATGAACCGGCAAGAACTCGAAGTAAGCCATGGTCGGGATGAGCGTGTAAGAGACCTCGCTCGGTTTGCAGAGCGGCCGAAGGTTCACTCCAAAGTAACACTCGGAAGAAGCATACATCGTGCAGACAAGAGGCAAGCCATTGCTGTAGTAATCCAGCGTGGGAATGTACTGTGACATTGTCCCGGTCACAATCACATCCACATACTTAGTGTTGGGCCACAGCCTGGTGATGATCCCTTGCCAAGACTCCTTCCCACATTCATCCTCTACGAAATCGGCCAGTTTCGGGTTGGGTTTAAGGATCTTCCCGACCGCCTCACGGACCGAAGGATCGGTTATCTGGGCACTGACCGTTCCAGTTCTAATGTCACGAGCCAGCTCAGGCCAGTGTTTCTCGAGAAACTTGATTGCCCTGATGAAACCAGAGGCGAAAACAGCTCCCACGCGAAGAACCTCGTTGTGTTGGCACAGACCGCAGAGCATCTGAGAGTACATGCTCTGGTAAGAGTCAGGGCAAAGGATGGTCTCGTTGGGGCTGGTGTAGTTGGTGTAAGGGTCAAAGGGTCGTTCTTTGAAGTGGGAGGATTTGTAGTAACTGGTCAGGACAGGACGAGCGAGGAGACCAGATGGAGTTTTGGACTCGGATTTGATGAACAGGAAGTACATTCCTTTGCCCTCGTCGAGACCAGGCACGAACTGGCTCATCACTGGCATCAAGAGGCTGTAGAGAAGTGATCTCCTGTCGAGTTCCTCTTCGATTGTCGGCATCAGCTTCCTCTCCCCACCTGATGTCCCCGAGCTGTGTAACAATTTCAGAACACGCACTATTATCAGAGATGATCCGTAAATTTGACGATGTTCCTCATTTTCTAAGCAATAAATCACTATAATATTGATCTGTAATTTGACAAAGTGGTGAATAGCTGACGTTAAACGTAAAAGAAACTCGCTTTCGGAGAAAATCTTGAAAACAGAGACACAGAGAGAGCAGAGACCATACACACACCCGAGAGAACAGAGAATGGTCTGAGCATCTTTGTCGTAAGGCTCTTAGTGCCCAAAAACCAGCAACCATGACGACCAAATTTGTGGAAAAACGACCAGAAGAATCAGATGAGAAATCGAAAAAAAACATAAAGGACGAACCTTGTGAGGAACTCAGAGACGGGTTTGGAAGAGAGGATGGGGGACGTATCGCCATTAGCGATCCTGTTGATGTCTGTCTGAATATCCTCGTAGGTTATGACTGGCATGAGTCTCTTAAAGCTGCCGCGGTCGGTGCGACCGCCGAGGCCGTGGCGTTTGAGGTACTCCACGTCAGCATTGCGGGTCAGGATCTCCTCTAGAACGCGTCTCTGAACCGCGTCTGCGTTTGCGGTCACGTCCTCGATGAACTGCAGCTTCTTCTTGTTCTTCTCGGCGAGGATCTGGTCCGTGACCTCGAAAGCTACGTTCTTTGGTGCCTCGGGCATGGTGGGTATCTTGATTTAAGAGATAGAGAGAGAAACAGAGAATATGAAGAAGAAGAAGAAGAAGAAGAAGAAGAAGAAGAAGAAGAAGAAGAAGAAGATATGCTTCTAGTTCGAGCTCTTTGGGGTGTGAAGAAGAATGGAAGAGAGGGGGTCGATTTATACGGAGGGAGGCGGAGCAAGGGCAGAACTGTAATTTCATAATTATGGAAAAAAAAGTTTTGTTGTCCATAAATTAAGTGTGTACACTTGCCTTTCATGTTTATTGGACCGTCTGGGGGTTACGGAATCAAGTCTGTACACTTACTATTCATGTTTAACGGAATTATTGTACAACAATATAGTAAAAAATAATATATATCAAATTATTTATACACATTAAACTGATCCAGTGCAAAGGGTATAAATGGGCACATATTTTATAACGGAGGGTTTAGCTGGTTGACCGCCTCCGTAATACCGGCAATACCCGGTGATTCCGCTGCAATTTGCAACCGGTTGTCCCACGAAATACCGGCATCAACCCTTAAGAAGGGATTTTTTTTTATGATCCTAAAGCTTACACAAACCAATACAATTAAAATAAGAAAGAAAATATAAACCGGCTGCGCTTTTATTTTATCCGGTTAATCACAAAAACGGCGTTCATTGGAACTTATCGCGATATTTATAACGAAGGTCACTGTATCGGACGAGAAATTGAGAGTTACGGGGTGTTGGGGGGACCAGACAGCTGGACTCCATACCTAGTAGGATGACACGTGTACGGGGTTGTAGTTTAGTGCCTTCACGTAGTTTATTTTTCATGGGAATTTTTTTTTGCGGACATGAAAATCAAATGAGTAGATATCAACGATTTGTTTTCCATATTTTCGGCTCAAATCATGAATAAACTTCCTTTTTGTTAAACAATGGAATTTTGGTTTATAAATGTTAAATTATGCAAATGTTCGAGAAAATCCACAATTATTATGTGCGTATATATCTATACATACATATTGGATGAAAAGTGAATTTCAAAATTCGGGACAATAATAAGTTTATCATATGACCACTCTGAAACCCGAGAACGATCGAGTCAAAAGATTCATGCGTATATACGATGAATTTGATTATATTACGAAATCAAAAATTTTAATCGTGTTTTAGAATGCTATATATATATAAACTTGAAAATCATTTTTTTTAATCGTGTCTTAGAATGTTATATATAAACTTGAGATTAATATAATGTTATTGTTGTTGTTTTAGAATCTTTTTAAGATGTTGTTTTAGAATGTTTTATAATTGTATAGAGAAAAAATTAAGTTGTACTTAAAACTAAAGAATGAGTGTATCGAATCACAAACTTTTTTTTTTTTAAAAAAAGAAACATGTTATGCAATTGTAATCAGACATTTAGAAATTGTAAAATAATATGTAATCAGATTCCAAGAGTCTAATATCATGAAAAAAAATACATAAAAAACAACGAAATAATGTGAAGAATATATGTGTTGGAAGACATGCATATTTTCTTCGACCAAAAAAAAAACCATGTTCAAGTTGAATATACATACTTTATAACACGCAGCATTTTAACTGATATAATATATATATATATATATATATATATATAATGTAAAAGTATATATGACTCAAAATATGCTGAGTCAAATTCGTAGGATACGTAAATCAGTTAGCAAGTTGAATCAATATTTGGGCCTTTTTCTCCAAGGGAAAAAAAATTAAAAAAGAGATCTGAATTTAAGACAACGAAAATCTTTTAGGTTGGAGATCGGTGCCTAACATCTACATACGTGTATACACATACCGTTTGTATTCGATAGTCAAATACTTAGGTAAAATTTCAACCCAAAAAAATATACTCAAGTAAAATAGTTGACCATTTTTTTTAAGGAAAACTTACGAGCGAAAGCAAGCCAAGACTTTATATTTCATAAATTTCGCGTCAAATATCAATTAGTATTTACTTTTGTAGTTGGAAACCTCTATTCTAATAACTCAAAACCTTATTGAAATGATAAGGTAGAGATGGACACATGTCGGATATCTAGAAATTTGAGGGTATCCGAATCCGAACCCGAACGTTTCGGGTTATATGTTTTATTATCCGATCTCGTATCCGTAAAATCGGATATCCAAATTCGAAAACCCGTGAGATAATTTTCGGATACCCGAGGATATCCGAACTCGAATATTTATAATTTTTTCAATTATTATTTTTAAATATATTTATATATACACACTCAAAATCATTGAAAATAAATTTAAATTGTATTTATATCTAAAATAAATTTATTTTTAAAAAATAAATCATAAATATATCCCAATAATATCTATATAATCATTAATATTAAATAAAATAACACAACATCTAATAAAAAATCTAAATTTTAAAATATATTTTTTTTATTATCCGGGTACTCCGAGAGTATCCGTGAGATAATAATCATTACCCGAACCTGAACCCGAAAATTCGGGTATTCTAATATCAATACCCGATCTCATGTCTCATTCGTTTGGATACCCATATTTTCGGGTACCCGACCTTCAGGTCGGATCGATTACTCGAAATCCGGATATTTTTGTCTATCCCTACTATGATAAGGTGTGTATATATATTCCAATCTATTTATTATATATTGAAGCGTCTAAAACATTATATTTTATTGAATTTGGAAGATTCCATTCTATATATATCATAGTTTGTAAAAGGAAAATGTTTTGTAGGTCGAGCTACTAACAAAGTTTACATAAAGCATATCATACATGAACATCTGAAATAAAATTGAATTTAATAGGAGAAAATATAAATCCTGATTTTTGACAACTCAGTCGACCCATCGATAATTAATCCTATAGTATCTAAGATGTCAGTTAAAGTTCTATACAAATAAAGAGAGTAATGAAGTGAATTTCAACGCTCAACCTTTATTATACGACGCTTAAATTGAACGAAAAATACAAAAAAAAAAGAATATAATAAATATAGAGTAAATGGAGAGAGTGCGTCTGGAGGTGCCACGTGGAGGCGCCCCACCGCAAGGGCGGAAATCAAGTGGGTTCGGGTGCACGGAGCAGGCATGTAGGCCTTCATCCCCGAGTCTTAGTGCTCGGTGCTCCGTGTAATGCTTCGCCGAGGGGTTTTTTGGTAATTTTAATTTGTTCGAATCCGTACTATCTGACTCTACTGCCACGAGAGAGGGGAGTTTTTGTCGTGCAATTATACGGAAGGCTGTGAGCCCTGCGGGAGACACCGACAGTCGACAGGCTTACAAATCTTTGACCGTTGACTTCCTATTTCCTCTGTGTATTTTTTTTTTGGTATTTTATTCGATATATTTTTTGTACGATAAAAATAGATGGTCGATGCTTTTAATTGTTCATCAAAAGAGTTCTAACATTAAGCGTAGCCCCCTTCCAACTTTCTGTATATATGTATGTATTTTTTTTGGTATAAGTATATATGTATGTATGTACGTATATATGTGTGTGTGAGAACTTATTCGAATAATTTGATTGACCAATGCATACTCAAATGCAGCTACATGTATATATATATATAACCGTTTCAAATACCTGCCTCCATCTTTATCAAAAAAGAAATACTACCTTCATGCATACAATAATCCACGTGGGCGTCAAAGGAAAAGGAGAAGAGCCGGAGAGATATAACAGAGCTACTAATATTCTTAATTACAAGATATAGAATTGTAATAATGGTGTCGCAAACGTGCATGTGGACGGTTGATTATATATATATATATATATATATATATATATA